TGAATATAGTTTGCCAATCCTCAAAGAAAAATTAATTAATGAAGCAATCTCAGTATCATTATGTATAGATTTATGGATAGCTCGTAGCCGTCAGGGTTATCTTGGTGTTACTTGTTCTTTTATTAATAATGATTATAAATGGTGTGAGTTTGTCTTTACAATAAAATATATCCGATATTCCTATACAGCCGATCATATAAGTGAAATATTAGGAAATATCATGGATGAATGGAAAATTCAGGATAAGATGTTTATTATTACTACAGATAATGGCCGTAATGTGAAAAATGCTATATCGAATATGGAAAAAGTCAATTAGCTAAATTGTACATCACATACATTACAACTTGTAATCACAAGAGAACTAATTCTAGCAAAAATATTGGTTAAGAGAATTAAATGATTAATTAATTTTTTTATGCGACCTAAGCAGAGTGAAAGACTTGAAGAAGTTTAAAGAAAATTTCCTGATATTCAAAATGAAAATGAAAGTGAAAATGAAAATGAAAACGAAAATGATAATAATAATTTCGAGGTAGGACATAATATATATTTATTTATTTATAAGTGCCGTCAAAGAAAAACCTATCATCAGCCTCTAATTATATTTGTACAAGACAAGCAGAGACAGGGAATAAGTGTGATTTTATTTATAGAATTTGAAAATCCTATAAACAAAACTGTACTTTTTCTGTGTTCCTGGTATCCAGTACAAATATAATTGAAAACCTAATACAGTATACCCTCCCAAAACTGATTTTGTCAAAGCCGATAACCTGTTATAACTGATAAAAAATTGATCCACCATGTCTGTTCTATAATTCAAACCCGATAACCTGCCATTTCTGACAACTGATACTCAAAAAATCAGATACCTATAAGATATCAGGTTTGTCAGGTATTATAGATCAATTTGATTGGCTCAGATCATACTTTGTATACTCAAGTAGATATATAATAAATATAATCTAGCCAATTATATTTATTTATAATCATGTGACCAGTGAGCCATTAGAATCTAAAATCTGATAACCTCTCAAAACCGATACAAAAACTGTCCACCATGCCTATCGGATATGAGAGGGTGTATTGTAACAAGTTTTTTCTTGATAGTACTCAAAATAATATAATAATTTTTTAATAAATAAGTTATATTCTAATTTATTAGGGTGTTTCAAAAATTTTTGAATACTTGCATACAATAGCCGATTGCCCAACACATTGGAATTCTTCTTATCTCGCCTGAAATCAACTCCTTAAATTAAAAAATTATATTAATCTTCTTGTTAACCTACTTGCAGCCCAATCTGATTCCAATATCAAGAAAGATCTTAAATATTTAAAAAAAATATTGCTTCTTGATGATAAGTGGGATGCAATAAATGATTTAGTAGAGATTCTCCAACCATTCACCAAAGCCACTAATTACTTAGGTGGAAGTAATTATTGCACCTATTTGATAATAGTTCCTATTTTAATTGAGCCAAAAAAAATTGTCAGTTATCAGTCTCTAACAATGATAATATAGCAGACATTAATGACAATGATGATGATGATAACTTTCAAGATTTATTCGACGATGATACAAGTGACGAAGAAGAAGAGAATGAACAGGATTATGTATAAATATTGATTAGATCAAAAATAATTTGCATAATGCAATAAACCACTATTGGCCCAATTTAACATCACCAAGTTCACTTTTACCTAGTTTTCTAGATCCCAGATGTAAAAATCTATGTTTTGTCTCATTTGCTGAATGATTTGCTACTGAAAATTTACTTTATGAGAAGTATGATAAAATGAAAAATAATATAGATAAAGAGAAAAAAATATTAGAACAGAGGTTAAATCAACTCCTGCAAAAAAAAAAACTAAAAGTAGCATTCTTTCTAGTTTTAAAAAACATATACCAGTTACAGTTGAGGAGATTTCTGAATATTTAAAGCTTGAAGAAATTGATATTGAGTGTGATCCTTTTGTGTGGTAGCATGAGCGACATAAAAAATTTTCAGTTTTGAGTAGACTAGCAAAACAGTACTTAGCTGTTTTTGCATCTTTAGTAGCTAGTAAAAGACTTTTTTCGGATGCTGGAAATTTAATAACTGCAAAGAGAACTCGTATAAGTTCTATGTTATTTAAAAGATTAATGTTTTTAAAAAAAAATGAAAAATACTTGGATAGTATTTATCCATCTTAAGAATAGATCAGTTTATTTATTGTACGTACGTACAGTACATAAGTATATATAGTAGTATATATTACCATTACACAAGATTATTATAAATTTAGATTTTATGGATACGTACGTAAGTATGTACATTTATCTGTTATTAATTATATGTATTAGTAATAACTATTATATTTCTGGGTTTTAAATATGAATATAGCTTTAGTTGTGATTTAGTTTAGAAGATTCACAGATAAGTATATTACATATATAT